AACCTTGTCATTGTTTTGAAGCCCTCCCCTGCCCCATGTGCTTCTTCCTGTCCATAGCCCATCTCTTCCCGTCTTTCTCCTATTTCTGTCCTTGTGCGATTGTCTTTGTAACTTTCTATAAACTCTGCTCTGTTTTCTTCTCTTCCTTTCTCTCTTCACACACTGGTGCTTGTGTGTCCCCAACCCACTCTCTCCTGTGCACCCTTCTCCAGATCGGCTCCTGGACTCAAGCAAACTTGGAGCAATCAAGCTTCATGTCAGCTCTGGAGAGAATGAGCTTGTTATCAGCGACAGGGCTCGAGAAGAATATGATGTGGGAGCTGGAGCAGGAGTCAGAGCAGGAGACGGAGGAGGCAGAGTCCATGGAGGGGGAAGAGGAGGAGAGCTTTGTGGGCAGAGAGCTGGAAGAGAAGGAGGCCCCGCCTTCTCCCAAGCTTATCCACCCCAATGAGGTTCTCAAGGTTCTGGAGGCCTTTGTCATGGGTCTGAAGAAACCCAGGTGTGCAGGGCACCAGAGGGCTTGCCTGAGACCTGGGAGGCGTGGGTGCTGGGAGCCAAGCAGAGGCTAGTGAGCGAAGAGGCTGCTAGGCAGAGAGGAAAGAAGTGGGGTGCAGGGCTGACGGATGCTTTCCCCATTCGTCACTGGTTCACCAAACATTTAATGAGGTCTGCCATGCTTCAGCAAAACGAGGGTAACTCCTTGTGGTCAGAATGACAACGAAGCCTATGTGAGGTGTGGCATTGTTCAGAGGGGGAGATGGCCATCCCCATTTGGCATATCAGAGAGAATTTGGGGTGGAGATGGCACTGGAACTGGGTGGGCAAAGTAGGGGTAAGGGCTTTTCAGGACATCATAGTGCAGGGGAGGCCCGCTACATTCAGGAGTCACGATGGCAGGGATGGCGAGAGTGCCCTGGGTCTGGGAGTGGGACCAGTGAGTGGGGAGCTAGGTCAGCTCTTGGAGAGCCTTGCCTGTGTGCCCACGATCTTTGCCTTTGCCCTGGTGACTGGAGCTGGGAGAGGATAGGAAGCAGTTGGGGAGCCATGATTTGACTTGCACTTTAGAAAGATCCTTTTGATAGCAGACGGAGGTGATGCTGGAAACAGGGAGAAATGGAGAGGCTTGTCTGGGTGGGAGGGAATGCTGTTCTGGGTTAAAGGCGTCATAGAGGGCATAGAAGAAAGTGCCAGAGTKTAAGAGCTGATGTCAGGATGCATTCATGGAAAAAGGGGGAGGCATAAGCTGTAAAGTAGTGAGGTGAACAAAAAATTGGGAGAAAGAGAGGTGGCTTTCCCYTCACTGTATCAACACAGACTTTTACCTTCTCCGAGGGAACAATAGCCCCAGTCAGGAACATGGAAGCAGGTGTACTTTCTGAGAATCTGCCGTAATCTAAGAGACTTGGACAGCTGGGAGGGAAGGTGGCAGGTGGAAAGGCAGGATGTCTGTGACTGACTTCAGGCACTGAGATTAGCACTGCTCGGGGCCTTGGGTGTCAGGTGGAGATCATGGCATTRGTGCTCTTGACCTGCAGGAACATCCGGGCAACAGTGAGAATGGCAAATTCTTCACGAGATAACTCAAAGGACTCTGATTATTGGAAGGCCCTGACTACAGTTATCCCTCCCTCCAAGCAGAACCTCTGGGATGCTCTCTACACAGCCTTGGAGAAGTACCAGTAAGTGTGTGTCATGAGCCAGGAGGAGGAGGGAGCAGGGCAGGTCTRTGGGGGAAGACCCTGCTCTGAACAGCCCCACTCCAGGTCACACTCAGTCTTGAGGAGAAAAGCTGGGTGTGGTGGAGGGGGTAGGGGGAGTTTTGGTTGGTCCGGCCCTGTTCTGTCACTAGCCTGGGTGGAAGATGAAGCGTCTGGGGCCCTCCTCTGTGTCTAGCCAGAACAAACATAGAGGTCCTGGTCCTCACTTGGCAGAGGGTGGAGGATTCAGTGGGTCTCTAACCTGTTTTCCCACCCAAAGCCTCGTCCTGACCCAGAGAGCCAAGCTGCTGATAGAAAACAATTCTCTGGAGCAGCAGAACTCGGAGCTGCAGATGCTGCTGCAGCAGTACCTCCACTCCAAGGTGGGTGGGCAGCAGGGCGGGCCACAGCTGGGAGCAAGGAGGAGCCCCTCCCCTCGGGGCGAGGTGGTTTAGATGGGATGCAAAGCAACAGTAGCACCTCAGGTGGAGACAATGACAGGGCAACCAGGTTGTGTCCCTTTGATGCTTGTGGCTTTGGCACCAGCTGGTTGGGACTGTTTTTCAAGTAGAGCCAGAGCCAGCTTCCCAGCTTACACAGGCCCCAGTTTTTCTCCACTCTAACAACCTGTGTGAGGTAGAACTGTCCTCCCACTTCACAAAGGCAGCAAAACCTGGAGGCTTAGGGAGACCCCCAGAGACGAGGGCCAGTCAGCTTCCTTGGACTGTGATTTGATGCAGGGTGCCCTCACGGGGAGAGGTGTCTGTGCTGGGCACATGGGCTCTGCCCAGCTTTGCGCCTCCTCCTGCAGGAGTCGTGGTGTCTCCCTTGGCCCGGCCAAGGAGAACGGAACCGTACTGCTCTAACAGTCATGTACTCTCCTCTCCTGTCCTCAGCACAGTGCTGTCCTGTGGCCCGGAGGGCCATTAGTCATCAGCTACACACATGTGAGGCAGCTGAGGCTAGCCCCGAGTCCGAGCATGGGACGCATGTCCCCAGCCTAGTTCAGGTCCCAGGCTACACCTGAAAGGCAGACAGTGTGAGCCTGGCATCATGATGGCCTCTTGGCCTGTGACAGGACTTCCATGGATGCTGTATACAAGAGCATTGGGGGAGGGGAGGGGGGTTTAATGGCGGGGTGGGGGCAGGGGGAACACTAGGAGAGGTTGGTGGCCAGAGCCCACGGGAACAGGAAGCCCAAAGCCCGGCAGCCTTGAGCTCTGTGTGTGCGTTAGCTTTGAGAGGATCTCTTGCAGGGGTCTGGGGACTCAGGGAGAGCTAGCATACGCATGGAACCCCAGGGGACAAGAAGGAGGGCCTGGGGGAAAGGAATGACCTTCACTTTCTTTTCCAGATAAACTCTGAACTGCAGATTCCTCCAACTCATGTGTTCCGGGTCCCCACAAAATAGAGGTGGACCTCCAAGGGCTGATGTGCTCTAGTTGGCAGTGGGGCTGGTGCCAGAGCTGGCACTTACCTAGTGATCTGAGCCCACTCTAGATTTTCCAGAGCCGTCTTATAGGCTGTCAAAATAAGTCAACAAGCGAGTCACCTGTTTCCTATCGTTCTGATTAAAGTTTTTTGAAAACTGTCGCTGAATCTCTGTAAAGAGGCCAGATCTGGTGTGTGTGTGTGTCATGAGGGAACTTTGTTCCTGGGCTCAGGTCCTGGTGTGTGACCAGACTGAGGCCAGTGGCATGGGGCACCTTCTTGCTTCTGGGGACAGCTGGTTTCTTTTCTTTTCTTTTTCTTTTTCCAGTTTGAAACTGTATTTTATTTTTAACATAGCTAGAAATATCCAATAACTATATATTTTTAAGCAGAAAACTTTCTTTTCCTTCTTATAGCATCATTAGCAGAAAAAAAAAGAATATTTCTGGTTTAGAAACGATACTGGGTCTCTAAGAAAATGAAGACTGTTGTATTTATGGAACTTAAAAAGTCAAAAGCACAGGACACATTTTCAGAAGAGTAATTTACTTTTACCCATTTATATTCGTAATATTCGAGTATAGTTAGGTCATGTATAATTAAGTCAATCAAATCAGGAATCCAAGAAGAAACTTCATGAGTTAGCACAGCACACATGAGATTTTGAGAACATACATGAATAAAAAAAGAACACTGGCAAGCCAAAATCCAGGGATAAATGGTGTTTTTCAAGGATTTTAAAAGCATGCTCCATTAGCATTTCCTCATTTTTGTAACAGATGCATTTCTGTCTACTCATGTACAGCAGAAGGTAAGAACCTGAATAAATATATTAGAAATGTACTACTTTGTAAATGTACTCCAAGGAGTTTATCATTTCCTTTATCTTTGCAGGGACGAAAGGGAAAGAAAGAGGTGGGGGGTTATGGCTGCAGTATCTGAGGAAGAGCGGGGGCAGCTGGTTTCTATGGGTGGAGGCTGGAGCTCTTATAGGGTCATGAGCCTTCAGATTGTCTCCAGGCCTGAGGGACATTTTCTGTGCACTTGGGGCCCTCCGTACATCCTGGTGTGCCTTCTGGGCTGGGGAGACTCCTCCTGTGAGCTGCCTGAGCAGGCAGCCCTGTTCCTGAGGTTCATCTTGATCCCCGGGCCACGAGAGGCCACCACAAGGGAAGAGTTGACCAACCCAGCGTGTCCGCTGACCTGTGCCCCATGGAGGTGGCTTTCCCTTCACTGTATCAACACAGACTTGTCAGCTCAGTGTTCGATTTATTTTATTAAGAGAAAAATCACACTCAGGAAAGGACAAACAGCCAAGAGAAACCCAGTCGCAGGCAGGGGCAGCACTTGAAGCTCAAACTCCTGGCAGCAGCTGCTGGGCAGGGCAGGACTGCCTCGAGGGTGGGCCGTGGTGACATGGGCCCAGCTCAGTGCTCCTGTCTGGGCTTGCGAGCACCGCCTGGGCAGAGGGGCCTGGGTTGGGCACCTGTAGACAGGCGGCTGCCTGGGAAGGGGCAGGAGCCAAGCGGAGCGTGGGTGGACGCGGCGGCTGCCCTGGGGCTTTGGGGCAGGACTGGTGGCGTCGGCTGCGCTCATAGGACAGGGTGGTGGTGCCCTCTTGCTCCTTCATTCTTTGCAGAGTCCTGGGACTGGCCTGTGATCCTTGGTTAATCTCATTAAAGTTTTAATCCTGGGCTCAGGAACCCCAGGGGAGGGTTTGGAGCAGGGCTTGAAGGAGGGTGGGACCCCAGCAGTGGGGCAAGAGGGACCTGCTCCAGGTCCCCACCTCTTCCCGCGCTCCCTGGCCCTCAGGCAGGATCTGAGGGGCAGGGCTGGGCACGCAGCAGTCTGGGCAGTGCGGATGGCAGCCTGGCAGGCAGGAGGCAGGGCCCGGCCCAAGGCTTGGAGGGTGGACGTGGGGCTCCTCAGGCTCCCAGGCAGGGAGGAGAGAGTCCAGGCTGCAGGAAGGGAACGGCAGCAGGGGCTGGAGGGGTGCCGGAGGGAAGTGGCAGAGCCTCACGCCCCTAGCAGCTTCTTGACCATGTAGCCGGGGAGGCTGTAGAGGAAGAGGGCCAGCATGAGCAGCCCCAGCAGCGCCAGCACGATCTTGATGATGAGCCACTTGTACCGGGTGCAGATGAGGTACTTGATGGACTTGAGTGGGTTGAGGAACCAGACGAAGGCCGTGTCGGGCCGGCTGGGGGAGAGCGGGAGGGGCTGGTCAGGCAGTGGCACAGGCAGCCCCCACCGGGCACCCCACGGGGCACCCACCCTCTCCCCTTCCAGACCCAGAGGCCCTGAAGCAGACTGAGCCCTGCAGACTCAGCTGGAGCCCTGGGTGCTGGAGCCCGGGGGTTGCCTAGGTCGAAGCACCAGCTTTGCTGCTTGCAGAGCCTCGTGCTCCTCCCAAAGCCTAGATGGAGCTCCTGGGCATGGGGCAGCCGCCTGGCCTCGGCCTTGACACCTGAAGCAAGGGCAGCCGCCTGTGGCAGTGGCCTTGGAACTATGGGCCTGTACTCAGCCGCTCATCATATAGGGTTGTGTTGTCCCCTGTTCTCAGGGGACCAGTGTGGCACTACCTCTTCCTTCATAATGAGTACAAACTTATGTCCCACCAGGCCTGGCCAAGCAGGGCACGCTGCCCTTGCCAACCTGCTCCACCTTCTTTGCTCTGTCTTCTGCGGAAAAGAAATGCTCTACCCAAGAGGCTTGCTGAGCTTTACCACTTTACAAAAACAGCAGTTTTCATAAGAGATCCAGATATAAAGTGAAAGTACAGAATATGCTTTGTCAAGTTACCCAGTACCTCCCAGAGTACATGGGCTACGCTCCAGAGTGAGCTCAGTACACATGGGACAACGAAGCAGGGACTTTGGGCACAGGGCATCTAGTTTGGACTCCAGCTATGGCTGGCACCTGTTGGAGCCTCCATTCCTATGGACAGTAGTCACAGCTGATTCCTGGGRCTGTGAAATGGTGAAGCAGGGTGCGTGTGAAGCTCTCAGCCCGTGAGGTGGTGCTCAGTGTTGGCTATTGAGGGTCTGAATCTGGATGGGACTGAGATTCCACAGGGCAGACTCAGCACCTCACAGGGACGTCTCGATGGGGGAAGTCATTTCAGGTTTTTGGTGGGGAATCCTAGCTCAACCTTTCCCCTTTCCTTGTCACTATCAATTTTTTCTGTCAATAAATTGGAGCACAGTCTGCAAGGAATGTAGCTGGGACGGGAGGCGCTGTAGTTTGAAAAACGCTGGATTGGCAGTTTGGACACCTTGGCTGGAGTCCCACTCAGCTCTGCCCTAATTTACTGGGTTGGGTTACTTCCCCTCTCTGATTTAACACATAAAAATGTGAAGTAGCCACTTCTAATTCTGAGAATATTATTCTATTTTGAAAGTTTGAATGTTTGTGAGGGCTTGTGTATGAGCATTTGTGTTTAAGGTTTAAGTGTGTGTGTGTGTGTGTGTGTGCTGGGGTGTACCTGTGTGTGTGTGTGTGTGTGTGTGTGTGTGTGTGTCCATGTGACAGCAGCCCTCGGTCCAGAGGCAGAGGGGAGAAGTACCAGACCCGGGAGGCTGTGGGGCTCAGGCCCCAAGGATCTTCTTGGCCAGGTAGCCAGGCACAGAGTAGAGAAACAGGGCGAGCAGGAGGAGCAGCAGCAGGAGCAGCAGCAGTTTGAGGAGCAGCCAGCGGTAGGTGTGCCACAGGAAGTAGCGGGCAGACTTGAGAGGGTTCAAGAACCAGATGAAGCTTGTATCGGGCCGGCTGTTGCATCAGGAAGAAAGGACGGGGGAGCTGGGGCTGGGTTGGTGAAGGGCCCCTGTTGAGGGGAAGTCCACCTGGGCAGAGTATATGAGCTCTGGGACCTCAAGGCCAGCTGAGGCCCAACACCACCACTGGTCCGCTAGCTGGCAAATTCTGGGAAGAACCTCTACCTCTGTGGCTGGGGAGAGGAGCTGCTTCCTTGAACCCATCCTTTGGCTCAGAGGGAGGTGGTGGGGTTCAGGAGTGGAGAAGGGGGCTCCCCCACAGTGAGGCTGTGACCCAGGAAGGAACACAGGTTGCCTGAGGAGTGGGGGCAAGAAAACCAGAGGGTTCTGGTCCCTCCTTCCTGTTCTGCCCCTAAGACCAGCACGGCTGGGGGTCCGGGCAGGCAGGGCACTCACTTGGGTTTCTCTAGGGGGTCAGGTTCGTTGCGGGCCAGGCCCACTGGATTCTTCTCAGCCTCCTCTGCTGTCAGCAAATGCAGCTCCGCCTCCACTTTGCCCTGAAGAGAACAGAAAGGTCCCAGGGCCTGGCCACTCCACCCTGGCCCAGCCTGGCCCACTCCCCAGCAGGAGGCGGTGCCCACCGTGAGCTCGAACTCGTCATTCTCATTGCGGGCCAGGAGTGGCCACCAGCCTTTGACCCGCTTCTGCTTGAAGATGGAAACCAGGGGCACGTCCACCTCCCCGGTGGCCATCTCCATGGTGCACTGCTTGGCTGTCTTGGCGCCCCGMGGGAACCGGTTCAGGTCCAGCTCGATGGCCCCTGTGGCAATCTTAGAGTCAGCTCTGGGCAAGCRTGACAGGGGCAGGGGGTTTGTCCCCACATTTTACTCAGGCCCTCCTTCAGCCTGGTGGGCATCTCCTGGTGTCTGCCACCCACCACCCCCTGGGCCTCCCCTCTGTCACAGTCCTTGTAAAGTGTCCCGACCCCCTTACGGATCCTTGCTGATCCCTCCGTCAGCATTTACTGCCCACTGTTTGATGTGTCCAAAGCACCTTGTCTGCCTTGGTAATGACCCTGGGGACATCTGTCCCCTGTGTGGTTAGGTGGGTTCTTGGGGGACAGGAACCCCGTCTGATCTCTCTGCTCTTACGGGCCACACAAGGGCAGCTGGGCTCACCTATCCCAACCTCTCCCACCCCTGCCCCTCTGCTCTGGGTGCTAGGCCCCGCCCTGCTCTGCACCCAGGAAGTCGTCTGCTGAGAAGTGGTCAGCGTCCCAGATCTGCAGGGTGAGCCGCGCGGGGATCTTGTACTCAGTCTCATCCCAGGAGAACATGGACTCCTTCTTGGAGATGACGATTTTCTCCTCAGCTGCCAGGTAGTCGAAGGGGAACAGGTAGCGCCAGTTGAAGTTGCCCTCACCAGTGAGGGAGTGATAGTGGACGTCCGTGTCCTGCTTGTCCTCCTGCTGGCCCTTGAGCCACCTGCCAGGAGCCACGTGCTCCAGACCTGCGGCCATACCCTGGGGGTCCTCACCCCCCCCACAGCCCCCTTTACTTCTCTCTCTGGAAGGTAGGCTTGCCCAGCTCAGCCCCCCGGCACAGGGTTCTCTCTCACCCACCCCCGGACAAAAATGTCACTGGACTTCTCGCCAGTGAAGAAGTCATCGTCCTCCAGGACCACCTCGTCYGTGTTCCACACGATGACCCGCAGCTCGTACCTACACAGGAGGAGGGACGATTAGCAGCCTGGGTGGGGGTTTTGAGGGCGGGGTGCATGCTGGAGACGAGACAGTGAGAGAAACCCTGGGGACTTGGGCTGGCATGTGGACAGGAGAGCAAACAGAGGCCAGAGGGAGGCCTCTGTCTTGTGGAGCCCAGGTGAGCTGGACTTCAGCCAGGCACATGCTCATCTGCCTCGGGGGAGGTCCAGTCAGGCTGGAACACACTCCTTCCTGGACAGAGTGGCTAAGGACAGAGAGGGGCAAAGAGGAGAGTGGGGGGTACTGAAGTGAGGCTGGAGAGTCAGGAGCAACCTCTATGTGACTCCAGAGATCAGAGCTTCTTCAGTTTTAAGAGAAGCTTAAGCTCAAAAGCCTGTGATGGAAACCCATAGACTCTAGTTATTTTTATGTCCTGTCTCCAAAGAAGCATTTCCCCTTGAGGTTTAATTGTAATTATAAATGAGGCATTTATATTTCAAGAGTGAGGTTAAGTCAKCCACTAAAAATGGATGGGAAATGGTTGGGTTGCCCTCTTGTGGTAGGACCTGGAATAGCATGCCCATGGCTCAGGCTTGGAGGATATTTCTGGTAGAACAGGTTGCATAATTTGCTGGGGCTGGTGTAGAATGGAAATGCAGGGCCCTTTGCTAAATAAATCATCAAGAAATCAACTTGGCAACATTGGACACGTAAAGACGAATGGGAGCTCCTGAGTGTGGGTCTCTATACAGCTTCATATAACCAGGAAGCTGACCTGAATCCCAGGCCACTGTGGAGGTCAGAAGCAGGCAAGGCTCCACCCTGCTACCTTATAAAAGGGAACACTGAGGACCAGGGAGGCGAAGGGACCTGGCCAGGGTCTACTAGGAGAGGCAGGTGCTTGGCTTCTGACTCAGAAGTGTGTCACTTCCTCCTGCTTCTTTGGACTTGAAAGAAGACGTGACAGCAGCTGACTGCAAGGGTACAGAGCAGGCCTTCGGGGGTTCTGTGCAGAGCAGGCCCCCGGCAGTTCTGTTTCCTGTACATGCGTGTGCACGTGTGGGCTCGCATGCGGGTGCCATGGGAGGGCTGTGCGTGAGCTGAAGTGGGTGAGTGGGTGTGTCTACCAGTGGACTCATCTTTGCAAGGATGGGCATGTGCTGGGGTGCTGGGGTGTTGGGATGTGGCTCATCTCCCCAGCTCATGGCAGAGTAGAGAGTGTTCCCCTGTCCCAACAAATGGGGACCTACCCATAGCAGGCCCCACAACTCATGGGTCTGTCTTTTTCTCCCTCAGGAGGTCTGGMCACACCTGAGATCCAGGGAATGGGGACTGACCAAGGCCATCTGGGCCTGTGTCTCCAATGGAAAGTACTGGTCACAGTGGGAAGGAGGAAAGGGAGTAGTTMAGGCTCCAGGAAGCTCACTTCTTGGGCTTCCTGGGGGAGATGTCCAGAGGCGTCCCAGGGGCTGGCATGTCCATGGGGAACATGTCCACCCACAGCTCCAGGCGACCCTGAGGAAGAGAAGGCCGTGGTGATGCCTCAGGGACTTCTGCCTCTGGGAACGACAGTTTCCTCACCCTCCCAGCCCATGTTCTCTCATCAATTTCCATCTTTGGGTGCCAGGAATTCCCATGATGTCACCAATAACCAATCACAGCTTCTGAGGGAGACATTCTGAGCAAAGACACTGGCCATTCAAGTTGGCCTCGGTGGGTGGGGGCCTGCCAGATTTGGGGGAGTGCAGTGAGGGCAGGAGGTCCCTCTTCTACTTTCATGTGCCCATTTTGATCTTCACTGATCCYAAATACCCAGGGAGCCCTGATCCCGGCGAGGAGGGCATCACCTGCTCTATTCCTGGCTTGTCGGGGTTCAGCAGTGGCCTGGTTTCCACGTGTTCTGGCACCAGGCGGCAGCCCACGYGGGGGATGTCCTCCCAGTGCCTCAGGGCAGACAGGGCCACGTGCTCATCCGTGGGCTTCCTCTGACCTGTGGGTACCAGTGGGTCAACTGCACACCCGGCCTCCCCAGAACCAAGGCACCGGTGCAGGGGTCAGGGTCTTAGGGGCACAGGGCCCTGAGCCTGTGAGCCCTGTCASCCAGCTCCATTTTACTGTTGGGGAAACTGAGGCACAGAGGTGACTTGCCCAAGATCTCAGCTACTCCATAGGACCCAGAAAGGTCCGCATCCTTGATGTTCCCTGTTTGGGGAGGTTAAGCAAACCATCCTGCAAGGTGTGAGAGGGAGCAGAGCAGGGAGAAGCCGCTCCTGTCCCAGCACCTGAGGCCCAGGCATAAGTCCCCAGCGCAGTTACCTCCCGATTCTCTGGGAGGTGCCTCATGGGAGAGGAGTGAGGATAGCCCAAGGCTTGGAGCCAGAGGCGTCTGTGCCCGCGTCCTCAAGCCTCTAAAGTGCCATGTGACCTTGGGCAAGTCACACCCTCTGTGGGGTCTYGGTTTGCTCATCTACAGAATGGGGACAACGTCTCTAGCCTACAGGGGTGCAAGCAGGGCTAGAGAAGGCAGTTCATGGGAAAGCGGGGTGCAGGGGTGGATGGCAGAGGCTGGGCAGACAGGAGGGGGCTTTGGGGTGGGAGCAGAGGGTCACTAAGCCCAGACGTGGATAAGGACACCACCAAGAGCCCCTTACAGGACAGCATGGGCTCTTCATGGCCTTTGGAGCCACCTCGAAAGGGGCCAGGAGGTGCGGTGCAGGGCGGCTTACCGTTCTCATCCTCGATCTCAGAGGGCCCGGTGAACACATGGTTGGCCACCTTCACTCGCCCAGGGGGCCCAAAGTGGGGACCGTCTACTTTGCCCTCTTTGCAGAGGCGTGTCAGGATCTGGCTTGGCTTCATAGGGTCCCTCCAGATATTGTAGCCATGTCTGTGGGAGGGGACACACAGGCTTGAGGAGCTCTGATTGGGACCAGGCTATCCCCTGGTGGCAGTTCTCTAAAATGGATCGTCGCCTGGTGTCAACAGGTAGGTGGGCCTGYCCGGGGTTCCAGGTCTCCCAAGATACCACGGCTCCTGAAGCCTGGCCCCTCCTAGCTCAGACTGGCCCACRAGTTCAGTGTTCCCCAAGCATTGCCCCACTGTGCCTACTCTCCTGGAACCTCAAAGACTCCCCTGAGGAAACTGGTCACCAGAGGTTAAGGGGCTTGATTAGGGTCACACAGCCTTTAAAGGTCAAAGGCTGATTCAGATCCCCAGAGGACTCTTCCTCTCCTCCTYTGCTGTCTCACCCCCTTCCCTAGGCCACTCTTTTCTCCTTGCTCTGACTTCTCTGTCCTGGAATCCCCTGGCCCACTCCTTGCCTTGGAATCTGCAGACCTGGCCCGAGGCTATACCCAGATCMTTTAGGGGAGAAGCGCTGGCCTGGGACGGAAACCATAGTATGTCTACATTCCCAAATCTCCACCTCTGAGTCTTGTTTCAGGGTCAGGTGCAGCAGGCCTGCCCACCCCCAGCACCCCGCCCTGCCCCTCGCACGTGGAGTAGGTGTGGGCGATCCCGCAGGTGGCGCGGTGCTTGCTGTAGAAGCGGTTCTCCAGGTCGATCTTGGTTTCCCCAATGAGGTCGTCGGTGCCCACAAGATCCCAGTCGTACACAGCCACTGTCAGCATGGATTCCATGGGGAAGGAGGCCTCGATGTCGAAGGACCTGGCAGGTGGGGGTTAGGAGAAGCGTTGAAGGCTGGGCTGTGGCAGGGGCTGGGCTGGGAGTGAGGCCAAGCCGGGCACCTTACTTCCCAAAGACTGGGTTGAGCTGCTTGGAGATGTAGTTCTCTTTGTCACGGATGTCAGTCTTGCCCAGYCGGATGGCAATGTAGGGGTCAGCCTTGCCGTTGATGTCAGCAGGGTGCAGGTCTGTGGCCTGGGGTGGGGAGGGTGCTGCCTGAGGAGGGTCCTGGGCGCCTCTGCCCTGCTCCCTGAGGGTCCCATGATGTTGAAGGCGGGGCAGGAGCACTGGACCAGTCAGGGGACTCGCTGTGTGGCCCTAGGCAAGTTGCTGCCTTTCCCTGGGCCTTGACTTCCTCTTCTAGGCCAGATGATCCCCAGGTGCCTCCCACTCAGGACTGTCAGTCTACAGYGGCTCCGGTTCCTCCGGGGCAGGAGGACTTGCAGGGCTGGGGGTGCAAAGGGGGCCTCACCCGGACCACATAGACTCGGACCAGCACGTTGATGGGGTCATTGCTCGGGATGCCCTGGAACATGCCGTAGGTGGGATCGTAACCCGCTTCCCTGGAAACATCCTCTGGGAGTGGCACTTTGTACACACAGAGGGAGCCCTGGGGAGAGGCAAGGGGGCCCAGGTCAGGGTCGGCCTGGATGTCGGCAGGGGTGGCATCCAAACAACCAGCGGCCAGTTACTGTGGGAGGGTCTTAAGCTGCTGGACCGAGGGGATGGCCAGGGGTTCTGGAAGGAGTGGCTAGGGCAGTGGTGAGGCGACCAGAGAGAACTGGAGGAGGTGGGAGGCTCCAGGGCTGGCCGCGCTCCTCGCCTGACCTTGAACCGGCCCACAGTGCGCTCTTCCTCAGTGGATCCGTCCTCATCGTCCCCCGTCTTGCCCCGTAGCAGGTTGAAGGTGTGCAGCCAGTCCTCAAAGTTATTGAACTCTGATTCCAGCTCCTTGGGGTACACCTGGGCCGGGACCAGGCCGTCAGGGCCTGATGCCTGTCCACCGCCTCGCCCGCTCCCTGGCAGGGTGGGCCCAGAGCCTCACCTTCAGCTCATCAATCTTGGGTTTCTTCTTCTCCGGTGCCTCAGACCCTTGGCCGGGGCCGGGGCCCTGGGTTCTCTTCTTCTTCTCCTCCTTTGCAGCCCTTGCCTTCTCCTTGCCCTTCATTGGCCCCTTTAGGCCTGGCCAGAAGCAGAGAGGAGAGCTCAGTCAGCTTAGGGGATGCAGGGCYGAAGTGACCAGACAAGAAGGCCTGCGCTGGAGAACCAGCTTCTCCGCTCCTTCTCTTCGTTATTTAATTTCCTGTCTCCTTGCCCTCGACACTAGGCCAGGCCCGGGGAACAGAGACTACGGTTGTGCCATTTGGCAGAGTGGGGCCGGGAAGGAGGCCGGGTCTGGAGTCAGAGGCCTGCTGCTGGGTGGCCCTGGGCCCCCTCATCCCCCTCCAGCTGCGCTTAACCTGCCCATGGTATCAACAAGGTGCCAAACTGCATCCAGTGGAACATCAAGCACAGGTGCAGTTGGCGGCTTTGGAAGAAAGGGTGTTGTGGTGGACTCAGTGGGAGAAGATTTTATACAATATCTTCCTTTTAGAGAATCACAGTGTTTGCATTTTAAAGGCTCTGTTGAAACCCAAGGAACATGTTTAAACCAGCCGTTCCTGAACCAATCTGACCACAGAACCCTCTCTTCCCTTCAGAATCCTCATCCATATTGTCTGGAAAATGCTGGGTGAGGTGGCTGTGAAGTTCCTGCTGGCTCTGATACTCTGTGGCTTTAAATGGCTGCCCACCACTGTCGATGCTGAACTGGTCAGAGTAAAAACTACTCCAGATAAGGGGCTTTGCCTGCTGCCTGGCACCTAAGGACTCCCAGGGATCTGCCCAGGCTAGGAGACTGTGAAGGCCTGTGGGAGGGGGAAGGCGAAGCCGCTGGTGAGGCAGGCAGGGGAGCTGGCCTAGCTGGGGACGGGAGGCAGCAGGCCAGGGTACAGGGCTCACCCTCTGAGCTGTCCATCTCCTCCTTGTCCTCCACGTCAATCCCTGAGACCTCTTGTTGTCGAAGTTGCTGCCAAAAGACAGAGTGACACCCCTGCCTCTTGGGGCTCCATTTGCCTTGGCTACCACACAGTGCTCTAAGGTACACGTCCCTTCTGCCCAGTGACTGAGGTTCCTCAGGGCACGTGGGGCATCTTATCTTTGGGCTCCCACAGTGTCTGGATTATCAAAGACTGCAGAGATGTTTGTGGGATAATTGAATGAGGACAAGAGGAAACCAAGCCAGCAGGGGCGGGATGGGGGCAGACTGGACCACCGGCCCGGAAAAGGTGAGTTCTCAGGGGACTCCAAGCCGGAGGGCAGGGGAGCCAGCTCTGGGGAAAGCGGGAGGGGATCTGGAGGGGGTGTGAGCAGGCTGCCCGTTCCTCCTCACCCCCAGCCATGCCAGAGCCTCACCTCCTTCATGGTGTCGATGGAGGCAAAGTACTTGGACCACCAGTCCAGCATGCTCTCGTCTGGCTCCTCTTCCTCTGGCTCCTCCGCGGTGCCTTTCTTCTTCTTCTTCTTCTTCTTCTCCTTCTCCTCTTCAGCCTGAGGGTTGCCTAGGTCTACAGGCCTGTGGGCTCCCCTGCTCCCTGCTCTTTCCCAGAACCTTGGATGACCCAGAGGGTCCCCTCCCACTCCGGCCATCTGCTCTTGAAAAGCCCTGGCCCCCATGTGGCTCTATGGGGCCACCCATGTCAAAGAGAACAGGGCTGCGTTTTGTAGGGGAGGAGGCCACGACCCTGTGAGGACCATGAGGGCGAGGCAGTAGTTGGCGCTCAGGTTCAGGGGATGGCTCGGTCCCTGAGGCAGGGCCCTCGGGCCTGACAGCTGACACTAGCATAGGTCCTTTGGCCCCAGGGCACTTGCATGGCCCCCACACTCACCACATCCACCTTGATGATGGCATCAGAAGTCTGCAGAGGGGAACCAAGGAGACAGGACAGGATTAGCCACTGTGGCCTGAAGGGGCAGGCAGCAGCTCACCCCAGGAAGTGTGGAGGACAGGGACAGATGGGAGCCCAGAGGGTGCATGCAGGAATGGAAGCTCAGGGTGTGCTGTGAGCCCCTCGTCCCCGAGAGCACACTGCCTGGTGAGTCTGCTGGGGCCTGCTTGGAGGATTTCCTCAGGCCCTCTGGGACGCTGGCTCTAGCCCTGGCTGCACGCTGGAATCAGCTGGGGGGCTTTTACAAATGACTAATGTGGGCACCACCAAGTCTGCACAGTGGCAAGAGGCACCAGTAGTTTAAAACTGGCTGCATCCTAAAGCCAAGAGGAGTAAGGAGCTTCCACTTGGAATCCTTCTCAGCCCAGGCTTGTAGAGTGTTTTAGAAATGGCTTGGAGGGAAAACCAGGCTCCTGGAAGGAAGGACACGGGTACTTTCACAAGGAATCCATTGCCTAGGGTGTCATGTGCTGGAGTACAAATGACTGCAGGTTATCACCTCACACTACTAATGCTCTCTCTGTTCTTGAACTTGCACCCCCACCTCCACTCCCGTACCCTCCCCAACCAGGCTTGCACACACATATGCCAGGACAGGGCTAGGGTGGAGTTGCCTGTATAGTCGGGTTGGCCCTTGATAACCACACTCCTCACTGAAAGAGGAGTGACCTAATGCTGTTCTCTCAGGGTGGAGCAGCCTGGCTCATGAGTGTGTCACAAGTTCAAGGACAGTCTGGGGCTGCCTTACCGCGTCCAGCTTCACCATGGTCTCCAGTTTCTTGATGGGCATCTCTGGTTCCATGCTCACCACAACCTCCCCTGTGGGGCAAGAGAAGGGTCCCCCATTGCATAGCCCATGGCAGCCCTGGAGATGCCTCACTGGACAGGGAGACAGACAGACAGACAGACAGAGGAGGCGCAGGAAGAACAGTGAGAGTCAGAGAGGCAGAAGAGCAGGTGCCTGAGACTGAGTCTGGAACTTTCTGTGGGGAGAGGAGGGACAGGGTAGTTGAAGGGACAAAGATGGGAATAAGGAGGGAGAAAGTGAGCCAGAAAGAAGGGTGAGCCTCTGGAGGCCCAGCAGCAGAGTGGAGGCTGGACCAGGAGGGAGGGCCTGGGTCTCCTCCACCCAGTGGAGGAGGACATCTCTCTCAGGCCCTCTGGGGCCTTTCCAGGGCTGGCCTGCTCTGGTTCCAGAGTGAGGGGCAGTCCTGGGCAGGCTTTCTTGGCTTCCAGGACAGGGCCCGCCTTCCTGCCCTCCCACAGGACCATGGGATATATAACACTGGTGGCTGCTGGCACGGGGCTGTGAGCAGCAGCCCTTCTGGGGGCTGAGCCAGGCTTCGGGCCCAGATGTGGCCGTACCAGTGCTGTTCCAGCTGGGGGCAGAGCAGTCCGGGGGCCGGTAGATGAAGCGCCGCAGGGAGCTGACGGCGTGGGAGCCCACCAGTGTGTAGCGGCCGAAGGCGCGACAGTCCACCACGCGGATGTTCAGGGGCGGGTGCAGTAGCTCATTCTCTGGCAGGTCCTGGGGGTGTTGGTGACACAGAGCCTGAACCTCAGAGAAGGGGGCAGAGGAACCCCACCAGGTGGAGCCACACCAGCTCCATCGCCAGTTCTGCCCTCCGTTGTCTGGGCCTGTGCTTACCACTTCAAACCACTTGACCAGGGTGTTGAAGTTGGGGTTCTTCTTGTAATTGTGGATCAGGGATGACTGCACCCCCTTCCCTGCACACTCGATGTCCACGCGCGGTCGGTCCACCTGGGCCAGGTTCACCCGTTTCAGGTCCCGAAGGCCCCAGAACAGCACCTGGGAGAGGGTTAGGGGGGAGCGCTGCTCAGTCCAGGCCACAGCAGTGGGTGGCAGGGTCTCCTGAGAAGAAACCTGGCAACAGGCAGCAGAGGACAGATTTCAGTGGGCAGGGACAGTGCCAGGAGAACTGATGAGGTGAGGTGGGGCCTCACAGTGAAGGTGTGGAGGATGGAAGGTGGAGCCGACAGGGGTGCTGGGAAAGGCCCTGAGCCCCAGTGTGACTCAGTCGGATGGAGGCAGGCACTGGCCTGGGGTGGGAACCTGGGTCTGCTGCTGGCTCCCGGGGTGACCTTGGGCAAGTCACTTCCCCTCTCAGGCACCAGGGTTTGCTGTCTGCAGAGGAACGTGCACTTTCTCCCAGTGGAGAGAATGAGAGGGAACAAGAAAGCCAGGTGGGAGACACAGGGAGGGACAGGGAGGGACCATAGAGGCCCTGCGCACCTCCACCCGGTACTTGCTGAGCACGGGCCGGATGCCCACAGGCACAGGCATGATGGGCCCCCGGTCCACGTCCACCGGGCCATTGATCGGGGGCAGGTCGGCCTTTCCTGTTGGTCCAATCTGAGGAATGGGGGTCATAGGTCACATGCTGGGGAGTCCAGGAGAGGTGTCTTTTCCCCCATGAGTTGAGATCAGGGGAGATAAGGATGGCCAAATGGCCCCACGCCCCTGAGAACCACACCTCCTGCTTTGGTCACAGCAGCATGGGGAGGAGGGAAGCCCCAGACCGTGCCCTATCCCCTGTGACCCACCTGCAGCAGCTCGAAGGCAGCCAGTAGGTCTCCGGCCGTGGCGTTGCCACGGTAGATCTGGTAGTACTCGAGCTGGGGCGGGAAGCGGGGTGGGCAGTACGCCTCATCTGCCATCTTCACCAGGGGCTTGGCGAAGGTCCGGCCCATGAAGTCGGCTTTGCCCTGACAACACAAACAACCCAGGTGGCCTCTTGCACTTGTGTTCACATTTGTCATCTCATTGGTCCTTACCACTGGCCATGTGTTGGTGTAAGGAGCAGGTGTGATCACCCACTTTCCAGATGGGGAAGGTCTAGTGTCAGGGACAATCAAAGGCTTATTCAGGGCCAGGCGGTGAATGGCAGATGCAGGACTCAGGACCAGAAATAAGGTCCTTCTATTCTAGTCCAGAGCTCTCTGGGGGCACCTCAGTGGGTGAGGTGGTTTGTAGGAAGAGTTGGTGGCTTCCCAACTCTTGGGGGGTCATCCCAATCCTTTACTCCCCACTCCAGGTCCCCCCAGCCCCCCACACCATGGAAAGCTAAAGGCTGTTACAGACTGATAGGTGTGGGCAGTGGGTCAAGGGCCCTGCGGTGACAGTAGAACTTTCCGGCTCATCTCCTGAGGATGTTGGGCTCTGTGTGTCTGTGCCGGGAGGTGAGGATGCCCTGGCCTGACTCCTGAGATCCCAGAGGCTCAGTGTTGGGAAAGGTTAGGGGGCAACGGGTGGGCAGGAGGCACCCGGAGGGACTGGTCAGCAGCCCAGATGCCAGCTTCCCAGCCAGCACCAGCCCAGGAGGGAGTGGGGAGGAGGCCAGCAAGTTGAGTGCAGGGGACCAGGGGGAGGTGTGGTGCTACTGGGGTCCCTGGTGCCAACACCCACTCATACCATGCTGTCCTGGTCATAGATTTCAATGACAATGATGGGGGGATCATCCCGTAACTCCTGGGCTTCTCCATACAGCTCCAGGTTGTCAAACACCAGCATCTGATCCCAGGTGGGACACAGTGTCTCATTCAGCACCTGCGGCATGGGGTGGGAGACAGGGAACAGGTGATAGTGAGTGGCTGACACCATTTCTAGTCAGGGATTCCAGGAAAGCCAGGAGCAGGAAAGTCAGAAATCTTAAAATCAAGGCGAATATGAGGTCTGCCTCCAGAGCCCTGACAAAGTCTTCCTGTCTTCTCTGCCTTGTGGATGCAACCTCAAAGCTGTAGTCCTGGCCTGTGTGACCTGGGCCTGCAGGTCTAAGGAGCCTGGGTACTAGTAGCCCTGCTCTCTGGGCCCACAAACTCAGAAGCCTCCAGTGCTCTTTCCAGATGGGGAAGGTCAAGTATCAGGGACAATCACACGCCTATGGGCATGTCCCCCACAGGCCCTCACCTCCGTGCACTGGCTCTGGTTGATGAAGAAGACACGGGCGAAGGGATCAGAAAGACCACTGCTGTCCGCGGCAAAGAGGCTGCGGGCCTGGTACATGTGAGCTCGGAGCTGGAAGGCCTGCTTCTCTGTGGGGAAGAGGAGGCTGAGGCCTGGCATAGCCCCTCCTGGGTGAGAGGGGCCCACCAGGCGAGGTGTCCTCACTCACTGGTGTAGACCAGGCTGATGGGCGGGAAGGAGTGAAGTCCCAGGCCCTGGGCCGCCTTGACCTCTTCGAAGCCGCAGGGCAGGCCACACAGGAAGTCCTTCCGCTGCTTGCTGAGGCCCAGCCACAGGTAGAGCTCCAGCTTGGCCTGCACTGTCCAGCCTGCTGAGCCGAAGCCCCGCTTCCCTGGCAGCTGGGGGCAGGATTGGGGTCACCAGGAGTCTAGCCAATGCCAGGACCCACCAGGAGGGGTAGGAGCAGGGAAGGAGGGCTGTAGAGGCCTCGGTCATAGCTGTGCCTGCCCTTAGTAGCCATCCCACTGGCTGGGAGGGGTGGGGACAGAGGGTATGGGCCAGGCAGGGACTCCAGCATAGCTCCCTCTGCCCCCTCACTCTCTTTCCAGCCCTTTTCTGAACATGAGTTAGTTGAGAGCTCTATGTAATCAGTTCAGGCCTGATGGATGTGGGCGGGACCCTTTAGTGGGATCCAACCTCTCCCCACCCAAGTCCCATCCCTGTAGCACCTTGAGGAAGAGCGTCTTGACCTTGGCACAGTCCTTGCCCAGCTCCTCCTCCACAATGGAGAAAAGAAGGTCCTTGGAGGGCACCCGGGCATAGGCAACCCGCTTGTTGCTGCTCATCATCCAGATGAAGACGTCAGGGATGCTGTGCTGGGGCTATGGCGGGGGAAGGGCAGGGGGGTCAAGGGGAAGGCCCTTCTCCACTCTGGCCCCTGAGCCTGCCTGGCCTGGGGGCTGGACCTGGACGAAGAAGGGGCCTTGGAGGGAAGGACCCCAAGCCTGAGCTGGAGGGGCTGTACAGGGAGTCTGTCCCACCCCGTCCTGTGCATCCCGTCCCCCCTGCAGGCCATGCACCTCGTCTGCCAGGAAGCGCAGCTTCTGTAGGAAGTTCTGGCACAGCCTCAGCTTGTCACGCACCGTGTGCCGCTTCACCTGAGCCCGCAGGCTCCTGGCCTGCTGCCCCATGCTCTCCTGTGGGGAAGGGGTGCAGGGGGAGATTGCTGTTGGGGCACTGTTGGGGCCATGACCGAGGGGGCTGTGACCTCAGAGGCAGATGTCCCCTTTTCACTGCAAGAGCCTTCCTCCAACCCTGGGGTCCAGCACGTCCTCACCAGCTCCCTCATGCAGGACTTGAGGCGCTCCCGATCCAGCCTGGTGCATGACAAGTGCCCTTGGTCCTTGTCATCGAGGGAGAGGAAGCGGCTGGGAAGGGAGGGAGCCAGGGCTTAGCCCATAGGCACTTCCTCCTCTGTCCGGTAACCCTGTGCCCACCCCTTCTGCCACCCCTTTGCCCGCTCACTGGCAGCCACAGCTGAGCTCCTCCAGGACTCCCCGCAGGCGGCGCTCAGGATAGGACTTCTCCGTTTTGATCATCTCCTGCACGTCATTCAGTCCTTCTTCCTAGGAACCAGGGGCATGGGTTCGTGCTGGGCCATAGCCCACCCCCTTGGCCTCCCAAACATCTCCTCCATGTTCATCAGGGAGGAAGAAGGGCCTAGTGACCTGGGACCTCTCACTAGGGCCATTCCTTATTCATCAAGAGGAAGCAGCCAACTCCCCAGGTTCTTCTGTAGAACCTGGAGACCTCAGTTTCTGAAGGAAGAAGTCACCACTGGCTGTGACCTTAGTGGGTTGTACAGGACTCAAGGCTGGAGAGACGCCTACTTCACTAAGACAGAAGGCCTGCCTAGCTGCCTCTAGGGAACTCCAGGCCTGGAGGGGCCAGGCTTCTCAGACTCCATTCCAGACTTCTGGGACTTAGGGCAGCGGGTGGTCAGAGGTCTTACTGGGGCCATTCCTGCAGCCCCTCACTCTGCCACATGGCAAGCCTCTGGGCAGACCACTGGGAGAGCCCTTCAGACACACCCATTCCCTAGGACTCCCAGCCCCCGCCTGGCCCTGACCAGCTTGTCAGCGATGTGGTCCATGATGTTGGCATTGTAGAGGCGGCGACGCTGGTCTGGCCACCAGCTCTTGATGTAGATGCAGGGCTTGCGCTCCAGATAGGGCAGATGGAAGTAGTTCCTGGAGTGGGAGGTGTGGGGCAGTTGAGGCCCAGGGCCACAGAAAGTGGGAGGACCAGGCCACAGGAGGGTGAGCCCACCTATCTGTGATCTGGGGCCGCATGGGCGGGGTGGAGGACACTGAGGCCAGGTCTCCGCCATCATCACCCTCATCATCACTGGAGTTCTGGATCAGATCTACTTCCTCCTCGTCCCCGGGTTCCTTTCTGGGCCGAGGCCGCTGGGGTCTTGATAGGCYGTCAACTTCGTTCCCATAGTTGCCTGGACACAGAATGGGGCATCAGAGGAGAATTCTTTCCCTACCAGGCCCCAACAGTTGTCCAGTCTAGGTGTTTCTTTAGGAAGAGGCAAAGTCAGAGAATGGGGCTCAGACAGGATAGAGCATTAGCCAGAGAAAGATCCCCATGTCCCCCGGATCTTGCTGATAGCCCTGATGTTGGCTGAGCATGAGGTCCAGCCTAGGACATGGCCTGGGTCCCCACTCTTCCTCTCTAGCCCCCAGTAGCCTGTCCTGTCTTTCTTTCCCTTATCCCAGATTCAGGCCAGCCCTTAAGGTGGAGTGAAGGTTGGCCCCTCTGGGGAACAAGTACACTCCCACAGAGGTGCTGTGTGGGTGCCTGCGGACACTCAGGGGAAAGAGGTTGATGTTGCCTGCGTCCAGGGGTCAGGGAGCAGGGTCCAACAGTTACCACCAGCAGCCCCTTGGCCTGAAGATCCTCCCTCTGTAAGCACAGCACTCACCTATGGTCACCTCAAAGGTGATTGGCTTGTCTCCGTTTTTCCTGTCGATCATTGAGGCCTCCAGGAAGGCTCCAAATAGAAAGAATTCTTCCATTTTCCCAGTGCAGCTCTGTGCGGGAGGTAGTTCAAACCACCGCTTAACCTCAGTGGGACAATGGCCTGGGCTGGCCTCCTTCCAACAGGACCTAGACTGGCCCTTTGGGCTGATGGAGGGCATCCTACCTAGTTTTGGGGTTAGCAGCCCAGACCTTAAATCCCTCAGCCTCGATGGCCCTGCAGAAGAGCTGCCATGACCGGGAAGAGGGGCAGACACTAAGGTACCATCTTGGGAGATGGTGGCCATCGGGGCACCTCTGAGAAGGGGACAGGCAAGTGGGAGACGAGGACAGAAGTCCTGCCGAGGGGCCACATGAAGGCCTCTCCTCCCTGGAGGAGGTCTCATTCTGGGGTCGGGCCCTTGAGGACTCGGGCTTCCAGGGTGGGATGGGAGCTGAACTGGGGGCGCTGAGGGCAGCACAGCCCCAGGGGCCTCACCTCTGAGACAGGCGTGGCCTGCTCCACCTGCACCTCTGTGGAGCTGGTGAGCTCGGGGTTGGAGGTGTCCAGGATTTCCACAGCCAAGGCCAGCATGAGGCGGGCACGGAAGGACACGCCCTCCCCCAGGCCCTCGTTCAAGTCCTGGTGCTCGTCCAGCAGCGTGTAGTTGCGTGTGGAGCCGTACATGTTCACCCAGGCTGGGCCCAGCGTGGGCAGGAAGCCTGCGGCAGCAAGGACAAGGAGGAGGGACCCGGTCACTGAGTGGGTCATGACTTTCCCCTTTTTCTTGAGGCAGGGGCTACACACCAGGACCTGTCAGGCTGGGGTCCCGGATGACAGGGGTGATATGAGGAGAGGGTCTCGTTTACTCTTTCCTTTTGTGCCCCCACCCCTAACACAACTGGGCTCCTGCTGCCAACCTCTGTCTCCATCGTTGGAAATCTTGCGCAGGTCGATGAAGTGGGTGCCGATGGCCACGTCGTTGACCTTGTCGGAGTCTCGGATCTGCACCTTCATGCGTTTGCAGAGTGGGGGGAACAGGTCTGTGAAGATGACCTGCTCGTTCCACAGGGGCTCATAGCTGCTTTTCTGCACCGAAGTCTTGCCCTGGTGGGAAGGCATGAGGGTTAGGGTGTGTGTGTGTGTGTGTGTGTGTGTGTGTGTGTGTGTGTGTGTGTCCCCAGCCTCTCAGACTCGCCTCCCCCATGCTCTTGGCCTGAGGACCCTGCAAGGCAGGAGGATTCTCTGAGCACCATCCATGGCCAAGACCATTCCCAGACTGACCTCACCTTCCAGCCTGAGCTGGAGGCTCCAGATTTCACCTCGTGTCTTTCCCAGGCCACCACGCCCATCACCTGCCCTTCTGACACCTGGCACTCCCAGCCGCAACCTCCTACACCACAGATCCCCGTACCTTCTGGCCAGCGAAGAAGACTTGCACGTAGGGGTCGACGAGGTCCTTGTTTTCACCGATGAAAGCCTTCTTCACGTTGGCCATGAGGCTCGTGTTCATTCGGGGCAGCCCCTCCGCACGGTAAATTTTCACGTAGAACCGGGCCCACTGGCGTTCTGCGGGCACCCCCTCAGGGAGCAGCAAGTTCCTGCCGGCACATCCAGCCAGGGCCATGGTGGCCAGGTCCAGGGCCCCCACCTCCTACCCTAGCATCTGCCTACCCTGGGGTCTGGCCCAATCCATGAAGGGCAGTGAGAGGGCCCAGATGCAGATTGAAGATACTGGAGTCCATGGCACCCGCTGACTGTGGGAAGCAGGGCAAACCTCCCATCACACTGAGCCTCAGTTTCCTCACCAGTAGGGTGGGGGCAACAAAATCCACCTCCCCGAAAACAATATAATAGGCTCAAACAGGTTACGATACCGGAGTAAATTTTGTAAATCACAGAGCGGGGCGCCAATCTGAGTACAGTTGTCAATTTGCCCAGCCTCATGCCATAGCCTTTGTCCCCCAGACCAAAACCTCACAAGGAGCTGCTCTTCCTTCCCCAGCCCAGGAAGACACGGGTCCCTGGCTCCCCGCCCTCTTTCCCACGGAGGCAGCTGAGGTCCCAGAATGTTCCTCAAAAGCCTCTATCTGCTGCCGGCAGTTGGCACGCCACATGGACTCCCCCAGGAGGGTACAGCACCCCCGACCTGGCAGCTTCTGGAAGCTGGTCTGCCAGCGTCTACTCTTCCTACGGAATTCCTCAGAGTTGGAAAGCACTCCTCCCGCAACCCCGCTCCTGCCCTGCCCAGGCCCTCCTGTGTGGGGCGCCTGGTGGGAACAAGGGTAAGGGAGGTGGACGCAAGAACTCTGGGGGGTCCACGCCGGGAGCTCCTCGGGGGAAAGAAAGGGCTGGGGCGAGATGGGGCTCACCCCTCAATGTCATCTTCTTCTGTCTCATTGGCTTTGTGAGGTGTCTTGATGTTGTCCCCCTTGCCCACCACAGCGACGTCACACTTCACATAACCCTTCAGCCCGGCGGAGATGTCATCGGGGTCGGACAGGATGGCCCACTTGTGATAGAACTGGTGCTCTGCAGTGGTGATGAGGGGTGCTGTACCCAATGTCCCCACCCCTGCAGCTCCCTGCCATTAGGGCAGACCAAGGGCCCTGCAGAGCTTAGCACTTTTTTTGGCCTCTAGAGACCCCAGGCTGCAGGTCCTGGAGACCAGGGTCCCCAGTTCTGCCTGTATCTGGGCCAGGAAGAGACAGAGGGGAATTGGTCTCAGGAGCTGTGAGCTGGATAAGCCCTGCCCAGGTCATCCACGGGATGTGTGCTGTGGCTTCCCGGTGATGAACCTCCTAACTGGGTTTCTAGGCCTGCGGCTTCTCCTACTGTTGCCACTCTAGCCGGACACACACAGCCACCAGACAGGGTATTCTGAAGTGGTGGCTCCTACCTAATTACCTCCCTGCTTTCCAAACCTTCTGGGGCTCCCCAGTGCCTTGGAGTGAAACCCCAGGGCTTGGTGTGGGGCTCCTGCCGTGGCTGTCCCTGCCTCGCTCTGCACTACTCCCCAGGCAAAGCCCTCATTCCTTTCTGAGCTCCTGCTGATGCCACCTCCAGGCCACTGTGTTCATGGTCAATGAGTCCCATCCCTCCTCTTCGGTCCCTGGCCAGTTGCCCCAGGGTCTTCTCGTCCATGCACCCTGCCCTGACTTCCTCACAGCTTGGTGCCCCCCACGTCTGTCTCCTACCTCACTGTGATTGTCTGTGTGCTGTTTGGTTTCAATTTTGAACTGAGAGCCTCCTAAAGACAGGGGCCCGTGGTCCTACCCCAGGGTCCCCAGGACCTAGGACAGTGTGGAGCAAAGGAGAGGCACTTTAGGAAGACCTGCTCCTTCAGGTTGGCATTGAACCCATTGCTTTGTGGAGCTTTTCCCTGTGTTTTGTGAGGCACTGATCCCCAGGCTCAGAACTCCCTTCCTTCCTCCTCCTCTTCCCCTTTCTACTGCAGCCCAGGCCTGTGTCCTCCAAGGTTGTGATCCCAGGGGCTCCTTGGGGTGAGTTAGGGGCTGGGTGCAGAAACTAGTCTGTCCAGGGCTCGGCCAGCCCAGCTGTGTCTCAGTAGAGCTAATGCCACAGCAGCCTAAAAAAAGGGTCAAGGAGGGCAGAGGGTAGGAAGTCACAGGTGTAGGGAGTTGTTGGAGACCTCTGCTGGGCTGGCATGCCTCAAGAGGAGGGGACCGTGCCTGGGCATCCCAGAGCTTCAGGGCCTTGCCTGAGCAGATGTTTGTAGGGGGTGGGGGGGACAGATGAACAGACAGTAGATGGCTAATGGGAGATGGACAGAAGGCTGGGTGGGCTGACTGGCTGGTGGAGTGGATGGATGGGTAGATGATGGATGGATAAATGAATAGCAGGGTCCATTAACATATGGACGGAAGGGGTGGATGGATAGATGGGTGGACAGGTGGGCAGATTTGGACATGGTTAGATGAATTAGGGAAATTTGGCAAGAAAAGAGAATAACACACTCTCAGGAGTGACATGAATTTTACCTTCAAACTTAAAAGCTATTCAAATAGGGATTTTTTTTTTCTGTCCTGAAGGGTGGACCTATAGACATGGGTGAAGTTTGCAGGTGATAGATTTTTTTTCTTTATCTGACATAAACACAGTGGAGATCCCTAAAATAGGGGTGCTGGGAGGTCTAAGCAGAGGCTGGGTGACCATCAGCAACATTGATGCAGGGGTCCCTATGCCAGGTACTCAGTGGTCTGATGACCTCTGAGGCCCTTCCAGTCCTGACATTGTGTGATCCCAGGTCAGAGATGCAAGAACAACCTGAGAGCCCAGCTCTGTGTGTAGTGGCCTGAAACATCATTTCACCTGTGTCCAGTCTGGTTCTGGTACCTGCTGGCTCTGCTTGGCTGGTTGGAAAGCTGCCAGCATCCCAGGCCTCCTCTCGACCTACAAACCCACACTCCTCTCCAGCAGCGGCTTTGAAGTTTCCTCCTGTCGCCTATGACTGGGTAAAGAGGGTCTTGCCAGGGTGAGAATAGGCTCTGGACACCCCTGAAGCTCTTCCCATTCCACCAGGTGCTGACACCACCTGTATGAGCATCCAGTAATTCTGGGTCCCTGTAAACATCTTCCCAACACTACCCAGGTTTGGTCTCTGAGAAGGGCACCAGGCTCAGGGGCAGAGTCAGCAGGAGCAGCAAGTCCAGGGATGGATTACCCTAGTGGAGAGCCCAGGTGGGGGCCCACAGCCTAGTTCTGCCCACTTAACTCCCAGTGTGGCCCTGGACCACACTGGGAGTTAAGTTAAGAAACTGGAGCTTGATGAGCCTCAGTTTCCATATGGGAATGGTGCTTATGTGCTTATAATGGGGTAGGGAGGGTCCATCTCTGGATGGCATGCTTGACTCAGTGCTGGACCTACTCAGGCTCCATGCGGGCGATGCTTTCCTGACCAGGATTTGACCAACCAGAAGCCCAACCAACCAGAGCTTGACCAACCAGAGCTCCCCTATTCTACTTTCCAACTTCATCTTGACTCTAAGCCTCAGGCCTGCCAATGGCAACAGGGGACACCCACTGCTCAGCCCTGGGAGGATACCTAAAATAGGGTGTGCTGGGAGGAGGACATCCTCAGGATGCTAGTGACATTCAGAACCATGGCCCAAAGCTGTATGTGTTTCCTGGAAAGCAGACTGACTCTTCCCTGTTCCTTAGAGAGCTGGAGGTCAGTACAGCTGGCCTCCCCTGAGGCCCATGGCTTGTGTGGGGCAGTGGAGAAGGCACTGCCCTGGAAGCCTGAGGCCTAGGCTCTGCTCCCAGACTTTGGGCAAGTCCTCATGACCCTGGGCAGCTCCATTGTAATAAAGATTGGACCAGATACTTTTAAGGTCTGCTGCAGCTTGAATGTTCTATGATTTTGTAATTTTAATGTGTTCATTCCTGGGCACTGAACTCAAATTCCCTGATCTGAGTCCCAGTTTGAAGGTGTGTCAGCTGACTGTCTATTAAGCTGAACCACAAGTGCCAGGTGATCATCCTTCTAGTTAAGTGACACCTCTAAGCCCCTCATGGCTCTTAGCCTCATTTAGGTCATCTGTAAAATGGGAAGAGGTGCTGCTGCCTACTTCTCTTTTTTTGGGGGAAGGTAAAATGTGACACTGTGGGTGAAACTGGAACCCCAAAGGGCCCCAAGCTGGCCATGTGGTGACAAGCACTTTGGGCCGCCCATGGGGTTGCCTCATCATCTCCTTGTTGGCCTATAGGTACTTACAGAGCTGCCCAACCTCTGCCCCACATGGCGGCTCCTCAGGTGACCTGGGGTTTTTTAGAGCCCAGGAGTCCCTCAGAGGCTGTCATACTGCATTCAGCAATGGCTATCACCACCACATTTGGGTTGGACAGTGTGACTCAGGGAGGGCTCTAGAGAACATGGCCTGACCCCCCCCCACCCCATCAGCTGGGTGCCTGGAGCATCTCTGAGCTTCAGGTCCCTCAACTGTCAAAGGGGGATGGTGGGGTTCCTGTGAGGACGGAAGGGGTCCTTTCTGCTTGGCAGGTGCCAGCTCAGGGGGCAGGAGGCTGGCCACAGACCCTCCCAGGCTGTGAGGATAGGCACCTCTCTCTGCACCCTAGACAAGTGCGGCCATGCAGCATGTGCTGCATCCTGTCCAGAATGCCTCCGAGGCTCTGCATGGTGTTCCTCCCCTGGTAACGAGGGAGAACCATCAGACGGGGGTAGCTGTTGCCTGCATTTGTGTACACACTGTGTGCACCATTTCCAATGGCAGCGTGGTGTGTGCTCACAGTCTCCGGACTGTGTCCCCACCAGGCTGAGCTCAGGAACTGCCATGGTGGGGAGGACCATGGCTGCCCCACTCCCGGAGCCACACGCACCTGGCTGGCTGGCCCATGCACAGCTACTCACCAGGCTGGGCGTACACAGTTCCCACGTCCATTTTGAAGGAGCCCACCAGGGTGCCACTGCGCAGCAGATTCTTGGAGTGAATCACCTTCCGGGCAGAACCACCAGCCGCCAGTCAGGCAGGGGGGGGTGCGAAGCTTTCCATGGGGCCAGGGCGGGGCCCCCTGATGGTGGCACCACCTCAATATTTCTGGGGACCCAAACTTCATGGTGAAGGGGGAGGGCGTTTGGCAGGGCTGAGGTGGCTCACTCAGGCTCAGCATCCGCCTCTCCTGCCACACCTGTTTTTTTTTTTTTTTTTGGCGAGGAGGTTGTACATGACACAGAGGCATCTGGCTAAAGGGACAGGAGGGGCCAAAATCTATCCTGAGTCCCCGGTGCCCAGCCATGTGTCCAGGCACCAGGCTACCTTTATATGATTGGTCCAGCCAGAGGGGCCTAGCAAGATTGCACACAGGTGCAGCTGAAGCCAGTGGCCCTGTTTGCCGGGGCTGCTCCCCACTCACCGAGATCTTGATGATCTTGTCGAACATGATGTCAGGAGAGACATGGAAGTCAAAGACGAAGTACTGCAGGGGGAAGGACCAGGCCGCTGTCACTGGGGGGCTGCAGTTAGAGCCCAGGACAGTGCCAGGCCCCTCCCTTTTGGCAGTGTCTGTCTGTACCCTGGCCATTTCCCCTGAGCCCCAAGGTTCGGATGAGCAGTAGTGTGAACCATCCTGTTCTGAGTGATAGAGGCAGGGCCCCATCCCCTAGGCTGGGCCACCTGCTGCCAGTCAGTGGAACCACTAGTTGACATTGACATGCTCAGAAGGACTGTGGGCTCCAGGCCCAGTTTGTCCTCTTTCTAGCAGTGTGGACTTGAACAGCACCTTCTCTGAACCTCAGTTTCCCAAGTGGTAAAACGGGGATATGGACCCCCACCTCATGAAGCTCTGATGAGATATTATATCATAGGTCACTGAATTGAAAATGCTCTTGACTGTGTGATACACTGTGGTTTGAGGGCCACACAGATATCTCCATTAAGCCACAACTCTGCCTGGAACATGCAACTTCCGTGAGGTTAAGAGGGAAAATAAGGCGACTCTTAGTGCTGAGGCCTTAAGGTGTGTGAAGGCACTTCTTTGACTGTAAACCTAAAATGCGGTGGTGTGAGCTGTCTTCTTGTGCTGGAGGCTGCCACTTGTGGTCCCCACCCTTGCCCTGGCCTGGGTGCAAGGGCTGGGATAAGGGTGTGGGTAGTGAGCAAAAGTATCACTGCTTTGGTGAACTCACGGGTGAGAAAAGAAGCGCTTAGAGATAAAAGTCACAAGAGTACAGGAGCCTCGCCCTTGAGCACTGTGGGTAAAAGCACTAGATTTAGAACTGGCCACATCTAGCTGCGATTTGGGGGTTCATCATGTTCTTTCCTGAGCCTCAGTTTACCCCTGTGATATGGGGATAATAGTCTCAGGTGGCAAGTTGAACCTCTCCAGGGGCACAGGGACATCTGTGAGGTGTGGTTGTGAAGTCCTAAAATGAGAGGACCCTGGTGGAGCTCTCAACCCGGGTGTGGATGCAGTACATGCACAATTAACCTTAGTTGCTCAGTGTGGCAGTAACAGGTCCGGGTGGCACTGGCTGGGGGTGGGGAGCCTGCAACTCTGGAGAGGCAGCTGGGAATCTAGATTTGGGAACCTGGATGGTGACTGCAGCTTTTGAATGGAGGAAACACCTGGGGAGAGAGTATCAGAGGGCTCAAGACAGGGATCCAGGAAGCAGACTTCTGCAGTGGGAAGAGGAAGCAGGAGGTTGGGAGAAGAAGCTGGAGAAACGTGGGAGCAAAAGGAGGGGTGGGCAGACAACTGGATGGAGGGACTGGGCAGTCAAGGGAGAGAGGACATTAGGGGACATTGTCCTCAGGAGTAAGGTCCTCGTTGACCTTGTGGTATGCTGTGGGGCAGAGATTGAGGTGTGACTGGGAAGGAGAAGGTGGGGACAACTCACATGCCTACTGAGAACAGAGGAGAGAAAAAGGTGGTGCTGGAGAGGTCCATGGGAGTGGGCAAAGCCCTTGATCCACGGATGATGAGCATCTAGTTCCTGTCCTTGAGTAGGCATGGTTTTCATAGTGCTGTTTAGACAAAATGTGCTGCAGTCAAACCGCACAGGCAAAGGTGAAGGAGCCAGAAGAAAGGCAAAGACAAAGTTGTGTTGGGGGACGGTGTAGTGCCAGACTCCTCAGGAAGTAGGAAGAGAAGGGTCCATGGCAAAGGGGAGAGGTCGATTTTAGGCAAAAGGAAGATGGTGTTCCTCAGATGTCCAGGCAGGACCAGGTGCGTGGGGAAGAGGGCTTGTCCTGGGCCATGAATGTGGCTGGTTGTGCTGGGAGGGCAGAACTCCCTCCATGAGCCTCCATTCACACGGGCAGGCTCAGAGCCAGGCAGGATGGGTCATCAGGCCTGGAGCCTCGGAGAGGGTCAGCCTCATGCAACGCACTAGCTCGGTGAAGGCCTGAATCCTACACCCTCTGAACTGTCTCTGGTCACATTCCTGGTATTTCTTGAGCACAATTCCCTTTTGGAATTGCTTAGAAATCTGCTAAGTCGTGTTGGTTGTTTGTATCTCCCCCTGTTGTTTTAGTGCAACCAAAGAAGAGTTCCTGCTAGCTCGGAGAATTCATCAGCTGCAGTACCTATCTGTGAGCCTGGGGTATCTTTCATTGAAGAGGAAGAGAAGAAAAAGGAAATAAAGGCCTTGGGCTTGGAACTGACCTCTGACGCAGAGAGGGCAAGGAAGACTGCTCAATGGCAAGACATCTGAGCTGGGCCCTGCATGGTACAGGAGTTTGCTAGGAGTGGCAGGGCACCTTGGAAGAAGGGAGCAATTTGAATAGAACATGAGGTGCATGGGCCTGGTACAAAGTGAGCCCTTGAGCCCACCAATCATGGCTTTACCACTATCAATAACACACCAGGTCACAGGGACCTGTCTCTGTACCTATCATGGGAAAGTAGACCTTATTTAGGTTAGATGCTTTTCTAGTCATGGGTGTGTCCTGACATGAGGTCAGAGATGTCCTGACTCCACAGAAGACTGAAGGAGTCTTGAGCAGTGACGTCTTGCCCTGGGGCCCCAAGAGAAACTGGCTGGGAGATGTGGTCCATCTGTGGCTACACATGATACCTCGGCCAGGCTTTGGCTGAAGGGCAAATCTGATGTGCACAGGTTTATCTTCCTGCAGGTGCAGCTGGAGGATTCCCACAGTGGCTCATGGCTCCCCTCAGCCCTCCCTGCACCTCAGGAAGCAGGACAGGTGTCTCACTTGAAGGAAGACTGCTCAGTGGAAGTCTTCCAGCATATCTCATTTCCTGGAGCCACTTTGTACCCCTTGAGAAAAGGAAGGCTCAGGGTCCAGGCTTCTGGGCCAGTCTGCTGTGTTCTTAGACATCTGAGAGAGGCCTGGACCTCCTTCACCAGGGCTGGTCATGATGGGCTTCCATGTGGAGCCCAGGGGTCAAGATGCTGTGCCCTGGTGACAGGCAGGGCCCTGGGTTGGAGGCTGGACAATCTAGCCCCTGCTCTGAACTGACTGCACCCTTGGACAGTGGGAAGTCTCTTCTGGTATTGAGGTCTCAGCTTCCTCCTCTGTAAGGCGGGGGCATTGAACTAGGTCCCTCATATTTCATGTGACCTCAAAGGGCTGGAAAAAGCAAGAGAGGGCACCAGGTATTTTACCTCTTGTACCCAAAGTCAAGGCCAGTGGTTAGAAGGGAAGCCCGCAGAGGTTTAGGTGACCATGAAGGTGGTTGAGCATAAAGGGCAGGCACCTTGTGAATAAGAACCTCCTACAGGAGTCTCAGTGTCCCTGTGTGAGCAGTGGGGTATCAGTGGCAACCACTGATGGCTGATGTAACTAATGCATCAGGAGAGTCCTGGGCACATGGGAAATGTTCATTAATTGCGTTGGTGCCACACTGATGGCTGGGCTGGAGAAAGCTGCACTGCCCAGGGCTCTGGCTTGGAAAATAGCTGGGACCAGGTCTCATGGGGCTGTGGGGTTTGTTCATAGGAGCTGCTGGGGAGTCGCACAGGAGCACCCAGGCCACACTCATTTCAATGGGTGGCCCTGGCCAGAACAGGGCCAGACTGGGTTCTAGACTAGGGGTCCAGAGGGCTTGGCACTGCGTGTCAGTGTGTTATAACACAGTGGGCCAAAGTCACCTCTGCTGGGAGCACCGTACATCCCTTGACACTCAGCTGCTCCTTTTGGGCCTGGGTGGGGCTGGGGCCCAGCCACCTCCCACATTTCAGGAGACCCCTTTCCCCACCTAGGCATGGGGCCACTGACCTCATTGTAGTAGGGGCAGTTGGTGGACTCCTTCATGGATGTGTACTTCTTGTCGTCGCCCACCTCCACGCACACCATAGGGTCCATGTTCAAGCCCACCAGCTGCCGAGCCTCGATCACTGTGATGCTGACCTGCGGGCAGGAGAAGGAAGAGCCGGGGAGACAGCTGAGTGAGCCTTGGAGCCTGGTCCTGCTAGAGCCCAGGAGTAGGGCAGGAGGGCTCAGGGAGCCGCACTGACTGAGTCACGTCCTCGGATCTGCACTGACCACTGTCTGGTTTGCTGGGAGATCCTGGGCTCTTTCCTTTCCAAGCCTCAGTGCCCTGGTTTGCAGCAGGACATGGGATGAGTGGCCTTTAAGCCAGGTTCACTAGAATTATCTGGGGCAGGGGCATCCCCCCACTCTAGTGCTCAGGACATACTCCTGGCCAATCCAACCAGTGTCAGGGATGGGCCCAGGCGTCAGTTTTTTAAGGCTCCTAGGTGATTCTAGAACCCTGAGTTCTTCCCAAGATGGATGGGATGGCTCTGGCCAGGGGTAAAGGGTGGGGTGCCAAAACCACCTCACAGGGTTCATGCCCTCAGGAACTAAGCTTTATCTGTGTTTTGCACATGGGTGCTGCTGGGAGTCGCACAGGAAATCGTATCAGGGATCGAACCCAGGGTGCTTTATGGCTGAGCTATGTCCCCAGCCCTTTTTATTTCTCATTTTGAGGCAGGGTCTAAGTTGTCCAGTGTGGCCTCAAATTTGCCATCTTGCTGCCTCAGCCTCCAGAGTAGCTGGGACCACAGGCCCACAACACTGTGCCCAGCTAGGAATTAAGCTTTTAGAGTCTTTGTTAGCTTAGATTTAATTTCCTGTTCCAGGGTTTCTCATGTGAGCCTGCAGGCCTCTGCTACTTTCTTGTGTTTCTGGAACCTGGCTCCCTTCCTGCATTCCTGCCCCTCTCCTTGCCTTTAATTTCTCTGAATGGCAGGGAGGCTTTGGTGCCACCGAGCCACTTTTTCAACCTGACCATTGTATGCTGTGTGTGTTTTGTGTCCTTCAAGTAGCCTCCAGCTCCCTGGAATCTTACTTTTGCCCTGGGAAGCCTTTTTCCAGTTGTCTATTCATTCAACAAATATTTAGGGGATACCTGTTGGGGCAGGCACAGTTGGGAGTGAAGTCAACTCCTTCGCCTCATGGAACTTAGTGTAAGTGATTATTGGCTTGTAGATTAAAAAAAAAAAAAAAAAGAAAAAGAAAAAAAAAACACCTCACACACAGAGGTTGGTTTGTGGAATTTCTGATGTGACCACTACTTTTCCCAAATCTTCATTTTAAATCACTTTGGATTTGGAAGTTTCTGTCCCCTTGGAGTGGTCATGGTAAATAGACTTGGGGCTGCTGAACTTGGCATCAATATGCTACCAGGTGTGAGTGAGCAGGACTCACCATGCTACAAATCTCTCAGCTACCAGCTAAGACACCAGCTACCCACGAGGTTGGGTGAGGGTGGAGTGAGTGAGATGAAAGGATAAAGGCATCCTCAACAGAGGGAAACTCTGGGCAGTGCCAGCATCTGCTCTAAGTGGCTTCTTAGAATCTGCCTTCTGGCAGGGTCGGGATGCCTTGGGATGGTTTCACAAGACCAATTAACCAAAATGCCTTATCTCAGCTAGTATGAGTATTTACCTATAATGGAACAGGAAAGATGGCTCTTGGTGCTTCTCATCTCGAAGATGTGGTATTGTAGTTGCTGTGCTTTCATGCAACTTCTAAATATGATTTTACTTGAGTGAATTATTTTCCTTTTTCTTTTTTTCCAGTGAGTGCTGGAGATCAAACTTCAGCACCTTGTGCATGCTAGGCAAACACTCTTATCACTCACTGTGCTACATCCCCAGCCCTAGTTTCCTTTTTTATAAATAAAACAAGAATCATTTCTAAAATTATCATTCACTGTATGCACCAAATGTGATAAATAGCCTGAATATCAAGAAAAATCCACATATCATAAGTCACGGTGTTAAGAAATCAGAAACCTGATTGCAGTATGAATGTTGCCAGGAAAGTATAGAAATGGGAAAATGAATATTTACTCATCGAAGCAACACTTGAACCACGAAAGCAAACATTTCTATTTGGAACTTGAAGTCCAGAAGGACTGAGTGACAGCTTAGAATCCAAGCTTCAAAGAGGTTCAACAATCACCATTTCTTCAGGGAACCAAAAAGGAAGTAGGGCCAATTAACTTAGCTCTGGAAGTTTACTTTGATGAGCATAAATAGACACTAGAATATTCTTTGCAGAGTAGTTTATAGAGTCTTAACTTCCAATAACCTTTTTATGCCAAAGGCTTAAAAAAGTCCCATTGTAACCCATTCCCCCTTCAAAAAAGGCTTTCTGTAACTCAAGACTGGAAAGTAGATGGATGTCGTTTAAGAAGTCTTTGGAGGGAAAATATCTAGTTAACAAAAGTCTCTGGCAGAAAACAGTTTGAAAAACCTTTGAAAACAAGCAGTAAGCAGTGAGTGAGCTAAACCAGGGACCAGAAGGGAGCAACTGTCCAGGTCTGACCCTGAGTGCTGTGGTCCGACGCCCCTGGGTCTGAACCTGGGCTCTGGCCTTGACTCTCTGTGTGATCTGGGGCAAGTGCCTTAACTTTCTTGGCCTCAGTTTCCTGAGTAGTTGTTAAGAGTTAATTTAAATGGAGACACATATATTGCTCCTAGCACCGTGCCTGGTATATAATAAATCTTCAAAAAATAAGTTACATTAACAACAACAACAACAACTCCATTTCAATGTTTCTTTATGAGACAGGCCTGTGGCATGGTGTTTGAGTTGGAGTCTTTGTTCTTTGGAGTTTTTGTTCTTTGGAATTCTCTGGTTCTAAGCATACGGAAGCAAACCCTTGGGCCCTTAGAAAGCCCTCAGAATCCTCAGGACTCTTTGTGTTTGGGTTTTGGCAACATTACTTAAAACCACCAGTGTGAGTCTGTTGGACACTGCCTGGGGCCATTTTTCAAGCCCTTGGGAAGACAGTTGCTGAGAAGTGAAGAAAAACTGAAGCATGGATTAAGGGAGAGGAGGTGAATCCCTGGGGAAACATGTTCAGATGTGCCTTTCCCATAGAAAGGTGGCTCTCGTCACTCACGTCATCTCCTGAGGGAGGTGAGGAGAGTGGGGGTTGTGCATGAGCATCAAAATAAAGCTCTACCCTGGGAGAGGGGTTCAGTCTGATTCTGGGGCCTGGTGCTGATACCCAGACAGACCATCCACAAATAGGGAATGAGGGCCAGCCAAGCGGGGTGTCCTTAGAGCTCTGTCCCCCTCGACCACTCAGCATACCCACTCAATGCTAAGAACCTATATTTGGGTCTCACTACCTTCGGGGGAGGGTCTGGAGCAAGGCAGGGCCCCGGCACCTGCCTCAGAGATTCCTTCTCCTTCTCCCCTGCTTCCAGTTTATATGCAAGTAGAAGGTGCTCCTGGCTTGTCCACCAGCCTGTGTGTAACTCTGTCTCTCAGGCTCTGGTCAACTCTGGGAGAACAGAAAAGATTGAAGGCCTGGCCCTAGCTTTGCAGCCATGTCCATCCATGTCCTGTCCCAGCAGCCATGCTCATCACCTGTCCTGCCAGCGTTGAGCCACATTCATAACCTCACAGCTGCACACCCCTCCCTGTCTCAGCCTGTTTGTCTCCAGTTTTGAAAATATACAAAGAAGTTGTTTTAATATCAGAAAATGCAGAGAAGCAAAAAAAAAAAAAATCCACATTCCCACTATCCTGATATAACAAGACTGACATCACTTCCAGCAATAGAATAATACAGAACAACAATTTAAAAAATCACCCCAAAAATCTTTCTCCAAAGGCTAGTATTCAACTATTTGAATACTTTGTGTGTGTGGGTGCGCATGCATACCTTTGCCTGCATGTGTTTCTCCTTGGTCTCTATGGTTTTTCCAGGCCCCTCTTACTTTATGATGTCCTGTGCTGAACACAAAAGCCTGGAAGGGTTTTGACCAGCACAAGCAGAGCTCTCCAGCTCCTCTCTGGGTTTGTACCTCAATATTTCTATCCTTTCTAGGAATGCCTCCCAGGAACAAGTCGACTTTGAGAATTTATATGCAATTTGGGGTTTGCTATGACTCCTAGATTCATGAGACAGGGTCTATAAGGCACATATGGCTAGAACTGCCCACCACTGCAGAATCTATAAGGCAGTAGGCCTCAGGTGCCACCTACCTGGTAATCCATGGGCCTCCCGGCACTTGGCTCCATCTTGATGTCTGGCTTAGATCTGAGGAGGAGAAGGTACCATCAGGCCTAGTGGAAGGGGTGTGCTTGTGGGGAGGAGGGTGGTGGCAGGGTTAGAGCTTGCAGTAGGGTGGAGGGACAGAATCATGGTCTGCAAACCCCTAAGAAGAATGCCAAATAGAATGAGGATTAATTGTCCCCTGAGGTCCCTATAGGAGAGGACTAACCAAAGATAGAAGTAACAGGGGCCAGACATGAGGCCACCAGGCTGAAATGAGGGCTGGCAGCTCCGTGCCTTCCCTGGCCTGGAGGTGTTCAATGGCTTGGGAACAGGATGCAGCAGCTGCATTCTGCCTGTGCAGGGAAGGGGTGAGAGGGACACCCAGGGAAAAGAAGAAGGGGAGGGGCCAGGAAAGAGCAGTCCATGGGGCCTGATTCTTCTCCACACAAGTTCTGAGCCTGGCAACTGAGATCCTTTCTGGTACAGTGGAGACAGTTGGGGATGCTGGGTTCATGCCAACTCACCGCTTGTTGGAGACATTGGTGGTGAGAGCAGTGACTGAGGCCAGAGACACTGTGTCAGGATCCAGCCCATCTCCCAGTCGAATGGCCAAGTGGTCAAGGTCCTCCATCTCCAGCACTGCTGGTTCATCTGGGGAAGAAGAAGGGCTGGTTGGGTGGGTGGCAAAGCCAAGAATCAAATTTAAGGTTTACTTGGTAGCATCTGCTTTGAATGGGAGGAGGGTGGTGGCAGTGTATACTTGCAGTGTTTTCTACCCAATCTTGRTCTTTTATTTTTGATACTATGTTTGGTCTCATTTTCTTTTTTATTTTAGTTGAATATAACTCTTTCATTAAACACCATTTACTAAAGTGGAAGAAGGTAGGGAATAAAGAATCCATACTTACATGGATAACAACTGCTACCTTTAATTGAGTGGTTACTAAATGCCAGGYACATGCCAGGCACTTTACCCATGAATCTCTAATCTTTATAGGGAACACCTGTCAAGGTAGGCATTATATTCATGTCATAGATGGGAAAACTGAGGTTTGTGAGGGATCTTATCCATGCAAAATAGTTGATGAAATTCAGGACCCAGCCCTGTACTGGTGTGTATTAACACACTGAGATGAAGAAATGACAACCCCGAAAAGCCACCCAAAGGTGGTGAGTGTGGGCCTCAGCCAGCAGTAGCACTCTCAGTCTAAGGAGAAGGCACAGCAGTAACTGGCAAGTAGCAAGAGGTAAGGACAGAGATTTGGGGGACCAGTGGGCCACAGAGAAAATGCTGGAGATGGTGGCCAGGAGACTGAGAGTGGGCACATGAAGGGCAGGTAGCTCCCACCCAGCTCTCCTCTTCACCACATTTCTCCTCTTCTGTCTGTCCCCCTTTCCTCGTGTTGGACATCTGTCTTCCCCTTCCCCAGCAGCGTTCTCCCCGAGGGACTAGTGCCACAGGCCACTCCGGCCTGCCAGGACCTGCCAGTTGGCTGAGGCCAGGCTGCAGCCTGGTGAGAGGACGGTGACTTCTTCCACTGAGAAAGCACTCCTAGGACTCTGGTTCCCCCAACCCACAAGAATTGGCTAAAAACTGTTTCCTACTATTTATTCCTTCCGATTAAAAATCCCTGGGTGCTGTAAAGAACAAAGGTTAGGGAGAAGTGAGGACAGGAAGCCTCCATCCGGAAGAGGGCTCTCTGCCCAATTCCAGACTAGTGGTGGTGCCAAAGGGCAGTGCCCATCCCAACCCCTGGAGCACCATCCCTAAAGGACTTGGGCTCTCAGGGCGGGGCCTGGCTCCAGCCAGCCAATAGGAGGCCAGACCCCGCCCAGGTGGCTCTGGTTGAACCAATCCCAGAAAGTCCTGTTTGGGACCTGCCCAGGGGGCGGGGTTTGATGTGATCACGTGCGAAAAAGTGGTTGAGAGGTCAGGACCAGCCACCGTGGGGGCCAGGTGACCTACCTTGTCTATGGGGGTCCTCCTTGTGGGGCCGGTTCTTGCCGAGCTTCATGGCGGAGAACACGCTCCTCCCGGCTCTGTGAGGGGGCCGCCAGAATGAGGTGGAGGGAGATGGACGCACAGAGGGAAACACACCAACACCCAAGAGCCAGCCGGGGTGGGGACACGGAGAGAAAGGGTGAGGGGTACCCGGGCCCCTCGGCTACTGGTCCCAAGATACATGGGTGTGTGTGTCTTACTTCCCAAATTGGGAGCCACAGGGGAAGTGGGGCAGAGGGAAACCCCACCGCCTGTCCTTGGTGCCAAGGAGGGGGGCGGGCCCAGCTAAAGTGGCCTGGAGCTGGAAGGAGGTGTTACCTAGAGCGCCTCTTCAGCTCCCTCAATCCAGTCTTCTCAGAGCTCCCGAGCTCTACAAGGTCCCCAAGCTCATCCTCCCTGTCCCTGCATCCCACCCTAGCTGGTTGGAAAGCAAGCCAGATGATCAGAGACAAAGTATCAGAACAGAAGGGCAGGGCTCAGGGGGCTGGGAGAAACCAGCTGTTCAGTTCTCAGATGGCCCAGGTGCCCATGCCTGCTTTGCATTCCCCCTGCCTCTCTGTGGCCTGGGATTCTCCCTGGTCCCAGCGAAGAGGAGACTACCCTTTCCCATTTCTCTTTAGGGCTTTTACCTCTTCTGCCTGTCTCTTCTCTTTCAGAAACCCTTTCCCCACCCCCAGGAACTTATGGCAGCTCCATGGTTCCTACCTCTTTTTCTGGCTTGGTGTGGCCTTGTGCCCCAGAGGTAGTAGTCAGGGGGGGTGGTGGCTGAGGGAAGAGGGCAGGAGTCCTCACTGCCCTTCAGTGATGTCCCTGTAGCTGAGCCTGAGGTCCTTGGAGCCAGGAGGGACCAGCAGTGGGATCGGCAGGGGGTAAGGTGTAGTATTCCATTACCCCATCCATATTACATGAGCGGGACACCTGACTCTCTGTACTTCCCCTTCTCCTCCTCCTGGGTGTGGCTGTCATCCTTTAGGCCTCACTGGGGAAAGGAGCAGGCCCACCCCTGACTGGCTTATTACAGAGCCCACCATCTTTGTGTCTGCGTCTCCCTGTGGAGGCTTGACAGTTTTTAAGCCCCCACATCCCTGCTCTTTATGCTGTATAATGTGAGGTTGGAGAGAATCTTTCTGTTGTTTTAGAAATGTCCTAGAAATCTCAAGTTCCTCAACCCCAGATAAGCCAATCTTATTTCCCAAACCTGACTCTATCTTAAACCCAGGATTTTCTTTACTATTCAGATACTACGGAAGGCATGTCTGTATCCCCCGAGAGGCAATCAAAACCACCCCTTTCACATGACATCAGCTTACTAACATGTTCATAAAGAAGGATAGAAGAAGGCTGGGGTGACAGTGGTATGTCTCCCCTTGACAGTATCCTATTGTTTAGGGAATAACAATGTGAAGAAAGAGGCTCTATGAAAGGAAGCTGATGTCTTTGGAATTATCTTAACCGTAACATTAAGAGAGTAAGTTATACACTCATACCTGTAAAACATACAAAGTGGCCAAACCATAGTATATAACTTATAAACAAAAGTATAAAACTTTTCTTGAGCAACTACTGTGGGCCAAAGGCTCTTCCAGATGTTTGCTCATTTCATATTCCTAAGAATCCTGTGAAAGACATATACTTCTCATTTATCCAAGGAAAAGCTGAGGCTCAGAGAGATGAAAATGACTTCACTGTCCCACGTAAGTGGCAGACTTGGGATTGAAATACAAAGCTCCTGTCTCCTAGTGGCAGTATATTCACTTTGTGCTGGCTTCAATGCTTGGGGCTATTCTGAGTGTGAATCCCATCCTGACCATGGGGACTTTGGCAAAAAGGTTCCAGGGCCTGTTGCCATGGCAATTGTGCCAGCACAATTTGCAGATTGGGTTGTTGTCTGTGAAGAGTCCCACATAGAAGGGGCTCATTCAAAAACAACCCAAGCATCAACACTTTTGGAAAGAGAAAGCTGTATTTGTTAAGTTGCTGGTAACATAGCATTGGGCAGATCAAAAACCCATCAGAAACAATGGCATGGTAGCAGGCAAAGGGGCCATGCGTTTGACCTACCCACAAGCATCCTGTGGTATCTCACCCCTTTGGGGGCAGGGTGCCAGCTATATGCTGACCTCTGCAACAGGCCTGGCTATAGGAAGCTTGACTAGTGTGGACCCTCACTCTACTCCATGTCTCCCCACCTGTCCCTTCCTGTCTCTGAGTTTGGGACTCCTTTCTGCCCAGCATCACTGTTCATCGACTTCTCTTGAATCACCCAGGAGTCTCCTGGAGGTTCAGTCTTTGCCCTTGTACAATCTTGTCTTAGCCATTCCTAGACTGGGCCATTCTTAGAATCTCATTCCATGTGTGAGCTGCACAGTGTCATCATCATCACAGTCTGCTCCAGTCAAGGGGCCCTCCACTCCCAGGGGCAAGTGTTCTGGGATAGCAGATCCAAGTGATCCAAGTTGGGTCAGAAGAAGCCCCACCTGGAGAAGCCAGCTGCCCAGCATCCTGGGACAGATCTGGCTCTTCTGCCTGAGGCCCAGAGGAATGGCCAGGCACCACCACTACCGCAGCCACCGTGGTGGCTTTCTGATGCTGATCCCATGTGCCCACCCACTGCCCCCCACCATTTGAATTAGAAAGTCACTTTATTCTTTAAAACAAACATCATTGGAAGTAAGATTGATACTTTTTAAAAAACTATAGTCATCCAAAAATCTCTACCGTACCCTGAAGCAATTCAAGAGAGCAACCCCTCCTTCCCAGTTCTATATTATTTAACCATCTGAAGTTCACTGATAGTATTCTGGGAATGTCTCAAAATGGCATGCTTGTCTCTTGATGAAAAATGTGGAAATGTGTGACGATAGATATAATTTCCAGAGGATCTGTGCCTCTGCTGGTTTCTTCTAGACGTGGTCATCAGTGACCTGCACCATGGGCAATAGAGTATGACGTCATTGCCACTGCCTTTGTAGTTTTCTGATTGCTGACATATCAGAAGGTCACTACAGGAAAAGCCCTTCCTGCCTTATACCAGCACCAGTTCCTAGCAAGCAGTGTGCTGGGCTCTCTTGGCAAAGGTAAAGGAGATTTTTAAAAAAATAAATGTTAACTTAGTCAGGGATTTTTGAAGAATATCCACTTGTCTTTAAAGACTCCTTTAAAATATGTATTTTTTGTTTCTGTTGTCCTGAAACTTATAAAAAATTTTGAAATTAAAATTCTACATTTCATCTAATTGGGTTCTGCAATCATTGAAGATAGAATGTGGTAAGAAACAGACAAAGAAGCCAATAACCAACTCAGTGAAAAACTACTTTGTAATCAAGTGGCTCCTTATTCATGGGCACATTAAACTTGAGAAATAGGAGCAGAGGGAGGGTGGCCTCTTAGGATGCTCTGAAGATTTATATTCACATTTGTTCCCCATGGCTGGGTTCGCCACAGTTAGAATGATATATCTAGAATTCTCTCTAGAGGAAATATTTTAAAATTAGTGCACTCACTGTAAACTCTTCATTTATGGATCTGGTGATTTCTCACGGCCCAGGGCTTATGCCCCACGTTTGGCTTCAACTGGAATTGCCAGGGAATTGCCAGGCCTTAGGTAACTGGGATAAAAACAAACTCCTATGTAAGAGAAGCAGGGTCTGTGATGCTTCTTTGCACTGTGTAAGCAACAAGATTTTAAAAACTTGGGGAAAAAAAAAAAAAACTTGGGGACATGTTTCTAAGCGCCCTTGATGGCTTTATTTCCTTTATTTTCCATGCCCCAAGTACAGTAAATTTCATAATTCTACATTTCATCTAATTGGGTTCTGTAATCATTGAAGATGTCTTTAAAAGTGTGTTGAATTTCATTAAGTTTTGCAAATAGCTTCCTATGCAGGAGGATAGGAGGATCCTTCACCCAGAACCACTCGTCTCTAAACTGACCTGTTTGCACCAGTTGCACCGGTTCTTGAGAGACCCACAGGAACTTGTCCTGACCCCAGGAGTGCTAGGGGTCCTCAGTGCTCCTCATGTGTCTACTATTATACAAAACTTAAGCAAACAGCATCATGGAAATACATTTTCCATCTTCCCAAAGTGACTTATCCCAGTGAGCAGACCTTCTTTTGTGGATCGAATCTTGAATTTCCCCTACTGCAGCTTACATCTATTACCATTTATTTCCCCTCAGCGTAGATAAAAACTAACCAGCTTTGCCGCACCATCTCCTTTCAGAGACTGCAGGCTCTTCTCTTCCCAGGCCAGAGCCTTGATTTGTTTACTCTCTTAGAAATCCCATTTCCCTACTCTTCCTTAGTCTTATTATGCTCCACATTAAAATAATAATACATGCTGGTTTGCTTTATCTCATATGATAATGGGAGATGGCAAAGAGCTAGTGGAGGGAACCAGAGCATATTATGGGCCCACTACCAGGACAGACTGGGGAACTGGACATCAAGAAGGGCATTGCGAACTCACACAGAGCCCTGGCTAGACGGGTGACTTATGTCTCATATATAACCTTTGAAATCTAAGAATCCCTGAGGCCTTTCTCTAGGAGGAACTCCCCTTCTGCATCCCTATCATCTCCCATTTGCCCTGGAGTTCAGCTCCCTGGTTTCCTCTCCAAGCCTTGCCATGCGCTCTGCCTGAGACTTCAGCAAACTCTTACAACCCTCATGTCCCTGGGTGGAGCCGGTGGAGCCATCCCCGCGTGGTGTGGTTGCCTCCATCACTGTAGCCTTAATGCTGTGCAGTCATAGCTGTTGCTTGTGGGTTACAGGCGAGATGGGAACTCAGGGTACTTATGGTAAAGCATGGGAGAGGCTATGAGTTCCTTGGGATCTCGATGTCAACAGGCACAGCGCCCATCAGTGTGAACTCTAGACACACAATGGTGGCATTTCCATGGTATCCTCACATGAACTAATTTTTAACTTATTGGAATTACAGTTCTGGGAAAATCTCTGGGGCTCAGTTTCCCTATCTAGAAGATAATGATCATGGTCCTAGCTTTTCAGCCTCATTGGTATATCTGGAGATTTAA